ATGCTTTTCACTGCAGTAGATGTCTCCGCTTCCTAGGCCACCATCGGCTGCGATGAAATTCGTGAAATATGCAGTGCCTTCTGCACTACTGCGATCGGTCTTTCTCCATATCTACAGTGCTTCTAAGTGAATTCTGTGTAGTTCTCCTTCCTGTGCCCCTGTATTGCGGAACGCCTGTTGCCTGTCGAGTGTGCAGTGTGGCTGTTACGGGCCATTGCACAATGCATCCCGGTTGTTGGTGTATTTGTAGTGAACTTAAGCCCTTCGTAAACGCAATTTTAATTTATGGCTTTCCTTTCATGTTACTTCCTGTACTTTGGATGTAGTTGAAAGTCCTTGTCATCCTTATCATCGATTTGTCCTGCGTTCTGGTGACGAGAGGAGATATATGCTTCTTAGCTTAATAATTTACCAACCTAATTTTGAAAAAGAAATTGATGAGGTGACCAAACAGTTTGTCTATATATACATGGCTGTGTCAGTATAATGTGGCATGTAGACCTGTTACTTGGCAACGACTGCGGAAGAAGCAGCCATATATAAAAGCCATTACCGAGTAACGGCTTCGCAAGCAGACATATTTTGACGAAACAAATGGAAATAGCAACAGAGGAATGGTGTTTCCTTCGGTCCGTGTCGAGATGTTATAAGCAGGATAGTTAATTGAGAGTCAGCTGAGCGAATCGTAGAAGGTGAAGGGAAAGGAACCCAGTGGATGGTATAACTGGGCCACCCTGTACCTGGGGGAAACAGTAAAATATGGTCATGTGTCCCATGAGTTCGGAAACTAGAATAACTGCGCTGGCGAGGACCAGCAGAAATTGTAAAAGACATGTCCCTCATCTCGTCAGAGAAGGCGACCCACATCAACAAACCCATAAATGTCTGCCAATAATAAAAATTTGGTCTTGTGCCCCAGATGGGTGCTTGACACCAAGACAGACTGGCCGACTGACCGTCGGTTGAAACATAACTTCGACTCCTTGCTTTGACTTTGAGAGCCGCCAGGAGGCAAGAATATGTGTATGGAAGCAGAGGACATTGTTAGGATACGTCACCAGGCAACTGGTGGTGAAATCTTAATAAATTGAAAACACTTTACGTGTGCTGTGGTTACAGAGAATGTGCAAGTCAGCGAGACTGTTGCAATTACATTATATTGGTGTTGAATAAATCAAATTACGAATCCAATCTCCATATAAAATCACTCAATCACATAAGAGTATGAATCTCGCTTAACAAGTTTTGAATGCCTGAACGAATTAGTATGAAGCTTGGATTATATATCAAGCCAACTGAACCCATCTCAACGTTGTAATTCATATATTCGTTCGTCAGTACTACCAACACTCCAAAGTCTCATATTCTTGAAGTAACAACCATGCTATTAGATTTTAAAGGGTTCTGACGATGGTGGATGACACACAGAATTACTGGGGTGTTCATGAGAACAAGGCCGAACAGAGATCCGCAACAGACGTCACAGTGCGTCTACAGTATTCCCTGTGAGTGTGAGAAGTTATATTGTGAAAACAGGGAGAACTCTAGCCAAGCACAATCTCCAACAGTGTCCTCTACAAAAATCAAAATTGGCCCAACACGCCTATGAAGAGGGCCACAGAGTAGAATGAGATGATGCCAGCATTTTGGAAATTTAAAGTAACAGGACGTATAGGAAATATAATGAATCGACCCATATGACATGCTTAACCAATTCAATCAGCCAACCCAGTTTGGACATTTCTCCTATCTGGATATCCCTCATCAGCAATGAGGTTTATAACTTTCAGAAAAGATTTGTATGACGTAACAGACTCTTCATGCGTCTCCACAAAGTTCGAGTCAGTTTACTCCACAGATGGCACTAGTTGTAGACATTATATGTCTTCACAATTTTCCCCCACTTCTTCGCATTTGTGCTCATGCACTTGGTTTTTTGTCAGCTAGGTTTCTAGCACAAATTTCTACCTCCTTTTTTATCCTAGTGCCACGAATGTGCGTGCTCTATCACAATTTTGTTTTATGGTTTCTTTTTATCGTCCACTGAATTAGCCTAGTCCTATGTGTTGAAATAGCTGAGTAAATGTGAGAAGAGAGCGTCGGGACGCCACTGGTAAGTTGGGCACAGCGTCGGCCTGGCAGCACAGGGAAATCTAAGGACGGCAAGCGATACAACATCCGCCACCCCCCACAATAAACACTGGTAAACGAAATCGTTTTCTGTTGATATAAGTTTCATATTGTAACCAACCGAACAGGCTGACCCATGAAGTGATTATCTTGACTTGCATTCGGAGGGAGACAGATTCGAACCTCGCCCGGGACGCCAAATTATTTCATTGGGAGTTTTCTACAGTTTTCATGGCACCTTGAAGGAAATTCAATGAAGTAGGCCACGACCGCCTCTTTCCAATTATTCCCGCCTTCTCATTCATCAGCTGTGAAATCTTCGACACTGTGTATTCTAAGCTACTGAAAGCGCAGATAAACCATTAATATCGCGTCCAATAGCTAGCGGGGTACCTGGTAGGGTATTTTTTTATTTCTAGTGTGGTAGGACTAAGGCCCTTGTACTGCGGCCGCTTCTGGCCTATTGTACCAGCCCCAGATGATAGGTGAGAGTGATTGTGGAGCAATTGGTGGAATGAAGATTGGCAAGGGAAACCGAAATACTCGGAGAAAACCCGCCCCAGCGCCACTTTGTCCACCACAAATCCCACTTGACCGGACCCGGAATCGAACCCGGCCGCAGCGGTGGGAAGACAGCGACTAACCGCTTGAGCTATGGCGCGGCCCTGGTAGGGTAGTTGGTTGAGGCACTATGCTACAAGCCGGAAGGTCGTGGGTTCCAGTACTAATTAGGTGGATATTCCAATTTACCTAATCTTCCCAGCAGCATTATTGTCCCGTGGTAGACTCATCCTCTAACAGAAATGAGTACCAGGAATCTTTCAGGGGGCAGGCGCGTAAGGCTGAGCCGATTGTTTAGAGAAAATGGAGGACCTCGCCGTCTCACAGCAATATGGGCCTTCACTTACTCTTATAAGGATAGCTTTACCTCTTCTTTACCACCAGGCAGCAGCCATAAACTCATGTTCTGCACAATTAGAATGAAGCAGGAAACGCAGCTCGGTGTTCATAGCAGTGTGTGAAAATACTGTGCAGTGACACGTACCAGCCACACTGCACACTCGACAGGCAACAGGCCTAACGCAATACAGGGGCACAGGAAGGAGAACTACACAGAATTCACTTAGAAGCGCTGTACATATGGAGAAACACCGATCGCAGTAGTGCAGAAGGCACTGCATTTTCCACGAATTTCAACGCAGCCGATGGTGGCCTAGGAGGCGGAGACATCTAGTGCAGTGAAAAGGATTTAATTATAAATCTTGATGTTGCGCGGTGGACGGAAAGAGAACTGTACAGTATATCATATAATGGATTTTGACGAAGTTTTGAGAAAATTGATCAGTTTTAAGTGACTAGAGGTTGATGTTTACGGCGGAATTTCCAGTCTCATAGGGAGAGTTCTGGGTTCGATAGAAATATCTACGTACGTGACAAAACCTCTCCTACTATACAGTCACCCTCACCTCATGTGACATACATTTTCCTGATAAACGAGGCTCTGCAGACCGAGTCTCCGCAGTGAAGCTTGTTGCGTACTAGTTCACACCTATATCCGAACATGGACTCACTTTTCATTGAGAGCCGCATTGTATCAGGACTTTCAGCATACTCTTCTGCGGATTGAACCCGCGTGTGGTCCTGCAAACTAACTTCATATAATATTCTCTGAATCCGGAGTCGATCTTGGATACCAAAGACCATAATGTATCTTGGGGTTCTGAATGTTCCAACCAGAAACGTATGGAATTTATTTTTATGCTTTAAGTAGTTTCGTACTGTGAGGGATGACTGATGAATTAGGCATTGGAATCGATTTGGTGGGAAGCGGTTGTGACCCACTCGAGGTGTTGTCATAGAATTTTCCTGGAGCAAGTGAGGAAAACGGCGGAGAATCTAAAGCAAGGTAACAACTATTCATTCATCAATAGCTCTACAGCGCTTTGTCGAGTCCTGAGCTCTTCATGAGTTTTGTAATCTAACAGAATTAGGAGGACTCCTTAGACGGGCGATCATGCCGTCGCAAGGCCTTTGCAAATACACAGAACAACACAAATACAACATAAACGCAGACAGTCATGCGTACCTCGATTGGGAGTCGAACGCATGACTGCAGTGTACGAGTTGGAGAAGAGATTTTTTGCCTTAGGCCGTGCGGCCACTGTGATCGGCAGTGTAACCTATATGCCGAATGAGATTCGAACAGAACGGCTCCCATATAGAAGTCCAGATGTTAGTATTGCTCAAGCCTGCTCGGGTTCATGTCATCTACTTTCGGAGGTCCATCTTCAAATAATTCTTCTATTTTCTACCTTGCGGAAAGTTCTTAAATACACTGCATAGCCTCCAGACCATTATCCTTCATATATATATATATATATATATATATATCTGTGAGAGCACGCGAGTGTCACTACAGTAAACATGTTTTGCATAAAAGAACCTTCCTGCCTATTTTTTCCTCTTTGGCGGTACAGCCCCAATTTGGGCCTTGGCCTACCTCAATGAAATTCTTCGGTTAAGTCGTTCTTAGACATTCGGTGGGACTCTTGAGCGGGTGATCAGCTCGTCGCAAGGCTCATACCTGTACACAAACACAGAAAAACGCAAACACGCAACACAAACACTAAACATCCATACCGTGAGTGGGATTCGAACTTATGATCCTCGCTTCCGAGCAAGCGGAGACAATGTATGCCTTAGACCGCTCGGCTACCGTGACCGGTCTCCTTCCAGCTTTCCCTACATATCTTTGCATAAGTACAGAATATTACATCGCCTGCACATTCATTTTGTTTATTAACCTAATAAGTAGCTGTGTTTGTGATTCAGTGCTCCCAGTTCAGCAGTTTGCCACTTCCGAAATGGATCTCCTAAATTGAGGGACACCTGCTCAAACAGACGGGTTCCTATATAAGGCACGGCCTTGCTGTATTATCATTGACTTCGCAATGGCTCGTTACGCGGTAAGTGGCAGAACAGTTTCAGGAAGCAACTGGTAATATGAACGCGGGGCATTGTAGGCGACCCGAGCGGGCGCCGTATTTTACAGATTTTTTGCTGCTTGTTTGTTGCTGTCTACTTGCTTGGCTTACTTTTCCGTCCCGAATTTGGAGACGGTATATTCCGTCCAGAATCTGGTGAACTTATACCGGAATACACGGCGTTACAGCCCCCCCTTTCGACTATTTTAACAGAGAGCTATTGACGATATATCGAAAATTTATTACTGAAATTCCATACCAAAGTTCCGTTAAACTGATTTAGGAATTAAGACATCAAGGAAGGTATTCATGACCATGCTCAGAAATACTAACCAATTGTGATGACGTTTGCTTGGTTTTGATCTGTTTTATATGGCTAGGGGGAGACGAGATGTAATTTTCGTTGCCGTGAGGTACTAATGAAGCCTCTCTTACCTGCCGTCGCCTTCATTTCAAGTGGTGTAAATTATTGTCATAAAAGATACTCTACAAACCTAATGATGACCGTGAAGCTTGTTGTACCCTATATCACACCCACAACCGAACGTGGACTGAGAGCAGCATTGTGGTTGGATTTTCAGTATATTTTTCAGGATATTCAGAATTGCGTTGGGCAATCCATAGTGCACTTTCTCTCTCAGAAATGTTGGAATTTCTTTCTATTCCTAAGTATTTCTGTACTGTCAGTAACGAACGGTTTGTAGTCTGCCATCTTCTGAAGGAAATATTAGACTTTTAAGATTATTTGAGTCCTGATGAGCCGACGAGCTGAGAAATAGTGAGCAATCATGGGTTCTATTAATGACACAGAATGTGAGGAATGTTGTACGTAACTTTCCTCTGGTTTGCAGATACTCCTTCTTACCGCAACCTTCGCCGTCGTGGCGGTCGCACTACCCAGACGGTGGGGTAATTGGGGAAAGCCACCACTTGGACTACCAGCTTGGCCACCAGCTTGGCCACCCCTTGGTTCACCAGCTTGGCCACCACATGGATCACCAGCTCGGCCACCACTTGGACCACCGGCTTGGCCACCACACCATCCAAGGCCTCCCACTGAGAAACCCACCACGGAAAGACCCACCACAGTGGAGCCCACAGAGGAGTCCACAACCGAGAGACCCACCACTGAGGGACCCGCCGCAGAGGAACCCAGCACCTAGTGACCCACCCCCGAGGAACCCGCCACCGAGAGAGCGAGCACCGATTAACCCAGCACCGAGAAACCCAGCACCGTGAGACCCACAACGGAAAAACCCACATCCGAAAGGCCCAGCACCGAGAGACCCACTACCGAAGGACCCACCACTGAGGAACCTACCGAGAATCACAGCGAAAACCGAGCGAGGAAGCCAGGGAGGAACCCAGTGGATGTCCAACAGAGTAGAGACCATCTGCTGCAACCCCTGATAATCCTCGTGTTTTCTCGGCCTATGTAGACCCAGTTTCGAATTGGCTGTTACACTTTAAAAATGGAAATAAATGTTGCATTTTAGATTTCGTGTTCTCTGTTCAGTCTCCATTTCAAACACAATATGTCCTCTGTCATTGTGTCCATACATTGAGTACAATTTCATAAGTAAAGCCTTGGGAGTTTTTAAATGGAATTTTAATGACGTCGTTTCCTCCAACTGGTCATGCAGGGCTCACTCATAATGAAGTTATAAACGTACATACACAAGGCCGCGCCATGACTTAAGCAGTTAGTCGCTGGCTTCTCACAGCGGCGACTCGGGTTCAAGCCTGGGTCAGGTCATTTGGGATTTGTGGTGGGGAAAAGTGGCACTGGGACAGGTTTTCTACAAGTATTTCTGTTTCCCCTGCCAATCTTCATTCCACCAATTGCTCCACAATCGCCCTTACGAGTATCTATCGTCTGGGGCTGTTACAATAGGTGAGTAGTGACCGCAGTACAAGTGGACTCAGTCTCACCGCACTATGAGCAGTGCAGATAAAACTTACCCCCCCCTCCAAAGGGAATCTTTCGTCTTTCTCCCCTTCCATTACGCTCTCCCTTCCCTGTACTTTTACTCTTTTCTTTCTGTTACATTTTACACGTTCTTCTGTTTTTCCACGCAAAGCGATCGAACTTTAGGGTAACTGATCACGATTTCCAATTGCTAAACGAGCTGATTTAAGGGCCGACCTCTACCATCGGCTTGCTCTCATGTCATATCAATACATAACATACCATTTCCATCTTTCAGCTTATTTAACTTTGCTGGAATTGAGGGTTTTAGATTTTTCCTAAACGTCGGTATATATCTATCAAGGTACACGATGACACATATCAAACAACGGTAACTTCTATGTTGACATTTTATCCAGAAATTCAACGAAGTAATTCCCTGGTATGCCGGTCACGGTAGCCGAGCGGTCTAAGGCATGCACTGTCTTCGCTCGCTCGGAAGCCGGGATCGTGGGTTCGAATCCCATTCAGGTTATGGATGTTTGTGTGCGTTTTTCTGTGTTTGTCTACAGGTAGAGGCCTTACGACGAGCTGATCACTCGCCCAAGGAGGCCTACCGTATGTGTAAGATCTAGAAAAACCGAAGTGAATGGAGTTCATGGAGGTAGGCCTAGGCCCACTGAGGCTGTAGTGCCAAGGAAAAAAGTTCCCTGGTATATATCTGTTTCTTTGTTAACTTATTTATTCATTCTAGCAGTAAGGGCAGTGTAAGAAAATGAGATTGTATGGCGTCGAATGACTGGATTATCATCGAATAATAAATTGTAAGGGATGTAGATGGGGCCAGACGCTGCCCAGTTTGAGAGACCTTCCTCGAATTCGGGGGAAAGCAGAAAAGAATGCACGCAGACTTCTGTCAAGATTACCGGCTTCCTGGCCAAGACTTGACCCCAGGATCTCCTGCATAGGATAATGGTTCGCTGTCCATCCGAAAGTGATGTTGAGTGAAAGCCCATTTTGTCCAATGACTCCTAGTTCGTCACCGCTGTCACAAAAGCAACGCACCCTCACATCTCTCCCTGCTTTTCATCGGAAAAATCAGACAACCGCTAATACAGGAACTGCTACTAATTCATGACGTTACCGGTCGACCAATCAGAGCTGTCCTTGCCCTCCACTGTTGTCGTTATTATGCACAGAATTCGCAGAGATGCATAAAGCCAACTTCCCTTCATTCGTTGGGACTCACTTTTCATTTTTGCGGCGTTGTTTTGCGACGTCACTTACTGCGCAAGGAGGAGCTGTCTAAATGTACTATTCGCCAAGTTCGTACAATTAGAATGGTAAAGTCAAGGAGGATCAAATGGGCAGGGCATATAGCATGCATGGGGGAAAACAAGAATGCATATAGCATTTTGGTGGGAATGGGGTCCACTAAGAAAATATAGACATGGTTTTAATCGTAATATTGTCACGAGTGTTAGTGACTATAAACGGGGGTTTGGTTTGGATTGGATAATTGAATTTATTACAACTTATACATTTTCACAGTCCGGGGGGACTAAAGGCTATACAGCGCTATCGCTTTTCTACACACTTTCCAGTACACTGTTGCAACAGCTCTAATGTGCTTAGTCTTCAAAATTCATATCCTGACAACTGATTTAACGCAGTCACACTGTAACATCAAATCACACATGAAGTTTTTAGTACTGTCTAGTTCCTTTCTTGCTCTTTGTTCTCAATCACCTGCGACTGCCAACTCCAAAATTCGATCCAATTCTAGCTGCGTGAGTTCCTCCTTATGTAGCCTAGGGCCGGACACCACGGAAAACACCGTTTTCTGTTGTTAAGGATTGTTCATAAATTTCCGTTTCCTAACAAAAACGTCCTATTGTTGACTGTGCTTTTGTTGCGGGATGTTTTTACTGACCCATTGCCTAGCAATGGGTATACACGTCACATTGCATCCTTCTTAATGACTATTCGTCCCGCATAGATTACAGGAGTATCGCCATTTTTTCTTATCCTAGAGCTGTGCTTGTAACATCTGCGACTGGTCTCACCTTCCTTCCCGTTCTTTCTCCATCCAAACCTGCTGCCCTTTCCATAAGTCCTCACGTCCGTAGCGGATCGCTGATAGGGAACCAGTTGATCCAGGTGTATCACTGTCCTCTTTTGTTTCTCATTACAAACGGTTGGGGCAAAACTGCCTAAAGTGGCCGGTGCTCCCATATTTCATGCTCCTACTCCTGGTGTAGTCCCTTCTTCCGTTTCGGACTGGGCCGACCCCCCCACAATGTCCAGATGCTTGCTGCCCGCAACCCGCTGGACATCCCAACAGCTCGTTTCACGTTCTCCAGGTCTTGCGTCTCTCTGAAGGTTTTGTTGAATTGCCTGTTGCTTTGTAGCTGTTGGTTCAGGCAGTGGTCCTTTATGTCACTCTTGCACTCCGGGCCTTTCCAACGGTTCTTCCCGCCCGTTCGTCATTTCTAGAATCTTGACGAAACCTGCACTCAGATAAGTACTAATGGTTCACGGTTCTGTTAACAAAGATAGCCCCAAACCTAACCTTTGGAAGCAAGTGTGTTTTCCGTAGAATTTCGAAAAGTGGGATCACAGATGAATTAGGTGTACGAATGAATTTGGAGGGAAGCGGTCGTGGTCTACTCGAGTTAGTATCATGAAATTTTCTTGAGACGAGTAAGGAGAATGTTGGGGAATCCAAATCAGGGTAACAAATATGCATTCATTCAATCACACATCAGTGGCTCTACTGGCATGTGTTGGGCCCTGACTGCACTTTCAGTTTCTTAATTCTATTCAGAGCCGGTGGAATATCACTCAGGTAAACATGCTTTGCATAAAGCAGCATTTGCGCTCTACCGAGATATATTTGCGTAAGTGCAGAAAGCTGCATTGCTGCACATGCATTTGGTTTAATTAGCTAATAAGAGATATAGTCATCTAGCGTATTTGCTGCTCCGATGCATCATGCTAGCCCATGAACACGAAAACAAGTTGTTTGTCCAGGTGGTAAGGTGGAGATGAGTGCCAAGTCAAACACATGACGAATCGATTTCTCTACCAATGCGTATCAAATCTGGCGATTCAGTGGCCACTTGTAAGAGGTTTGCCACGTCCGATATCCATCTTCAAAACTCATGGACACCTGCTCAAACAGACGGGTTCCTATATAAGACATGGCTCTGCTGTATTGTCATTGGACATCGCCATGGCTCGTTATGAGGTAAGTGGTAGAACAGATTCAGGAAGCAACTGGTAATATGAACGCGGGTCACTGTAGGAGACCCTAGCGGGCACCATATTTTATAGATATTTTGCTGCTTGTTTGTTGCTGTCTACTTGCTTGGCTTACTTTTCCGTCCTGAATTTGGAGATGGTATATTCCGTCCAGAATCTGGTGAACGTATACCGGAATACACGGCGTAACAGCCCCCTATTTTGACTATTTTATCAGAGAGCTATTGACGATATATCGAAAATTTATTACTAGTTATATGAAATTTCATAACAAGGTTCCATTAAAGTGATAGACTTAAAATACCAAGGACGGTATTCTTGACCATGTCCAGAAAGAGTAACTAATTGTGAGGATTTTTTAAGTTTGTTTGGATTTATGTAGCCGGGCGGGAGAGAGACGGAATTTTGGTGCTCTTTGGGAACTCTGGTTCGATTCTACCCTGATTTTACTAATAAATCCTCTCTTTCCGTTCCATCGACATCACTTCAAGGGGTATAAATTAGTGTAAGAAATGACTCTCCGAAAAACTAATGGTTTCCGTGCAGCTTGTTGTGCACTAAATCACACCCATATGCGAACATTGACTGAGAGCGCATTGTGGTTGTACTTCTAGTTCTGTGCTGTCAGTAACAAACTGTATACAGTCTGTCATCATCTGAGAAAATTATTACATTTTTACGATTATTTCACTCCTGATGAGCCTACGAGGTGATAAGTACTGAGCAATCACCGGGCTAATATATACATTTAATGTGAGCAATGGTGTTCATAACTTTCCTCTGGTTTGCAGATACTCCTTGTTGCCGCAGCCTTCGCTGTCGTAGCGCTCGCCGAACCCGAACAGTGGGGCTATCCGGAAAAATCACCAGTTGTAGTACCAGTTTTGCCACCATATTATCGACCAGGTTTCCCAGTCCGGCCACCATACGGAATACCAGTTTTGCCACCATATGGACCACTAGTTCCGTCACCATATCGACCACTCATTCCGTCACCATATCGACCACTCATTCCGTCACCATATCGACCACTACTTCCGCCACCATATGGACCACTCGTTCCGTCACCATATGGACCACTAGTTCCGCCACCATATGGACCACTCGTTCCGTTACCATATGGACCACTGGTTCCGCCACCATATGGACCACTGGTTCCGCCACTAATTGGAACACCTGGTTTGTCAATAATTGTATCACCAACTGTGCCAGTCCCTGTTCTGCCATACTGGCCGCCTCTCCGTCCTCCACATCGTCCTGAGAAACCTGATGAGAAACCTGAAGAGAAACCTGTCGAGAAACCTGTCGAGAAACCTGTCGAGAAACCTGAAGAGAAACCTGTCGAGAAACCACACGAATAACGTGTGACTGAGGCTCCTTTTGAAGCCCAAAATTCGTGAGACCATCCGCTGCAGCCCCAAAATATCCTCGTGTTCCTCGGGCGATGTTGGTCCACATTTGAATTGTATGTTAAACTTTGAACATGGAAATAAATTTTGCATAATTGATTTAGTTGTTCTCATTTCAATCTTACTTTTCTTAGGTAATGTGTGCTGTGTAATTGTGCTCTATTATACATTGTGTATAATTCCGCAAATTAGATTTGGGATTTTTAATGGAATATTAATGGAAAAACTACCACATTATCACTTTTCCTGGATAGTCTCTACCCAAAAACAGAAGATCGCATTAAGTGGAGGAACTGTTTTGGAAGAGACTGTGGACCTGTCGTCTGACAGATTACTGATGACTGACTGACTCTAATTGGCATGGCTTTATAAATATACTTACGAAACTACCCTCTACAAGGCAGTCGTTCTTCCTCCCTTTCATTTTGCTGTTTCTGCACTGTATTTTCAATAGTCTCATTCTGTTATATTTTACACCTCCTGATGTTTTTCCATGCAGAGCGTGGAGTTACTGAGCAGGATTTCCAATTACAAGGCGGGCTCTTTTAAAGGCCTACTTCCACCTTCGCCTTTCTTGCAACTTATTCAAATAAATATCATACAATTTCAATTTTTTCAACTTATTGTGAAATGTTCGACTTTATGCGTACTGTGCAATATAGGATATAAGTGTATGTATTTTAAATCAAAACACCTATTGTGATGGTAGTTTCCAGTTTGTAATGATGTTCCATCTGAAGATGGTCCGTAAGGAACGAAACATGTAAGGGAGATAAGTTTTCACGTAGTGAAAACTTATATGTCATATTGGACGGAGTGATTTGTATTTGTTATTTCACTTCTCTCATAGTAGAAACACTAGAATCCTCCAGAACCTATTCATATATCTACCAAGGTGTACGATGTCACATATCAGACAACCGTAACTTCTGTGTTCACACTTTATCCAGAATTTCAACGAAGTAATTCCCTGGTATATGTCTATTTCTTTGTTAACTTATGTATTCACTCTAGCAGTAAGGACGGTGTAAGAAAATGAAATTCAGTAGCGTAGAATGACTGGATTATCATCGAATAATAAATTTTAAGGGATGTAGATGGGACAAGACGCTGCCCAGTTTGTGGTACCTTCCTCGAATTCGCGGGGAGCAGAAGTTAATCAACGCAGAAATTCTGTCAGGATTTTTTTTTTCATTTCATGCATCGTGTTCTGTTATATTATACAACTTCTTTATTACAACCGTCACAACACAACTAAATTGAGGTCAGTGCCTAGTTTTGGCTCTGCTATATGTTTCGGCTATTAACAGCCATCATGAAGCAAATACACGTACATGGTTAACATATACACACCACTTAATCGCAGTGCTAGTAAAATTGGATACAATACTATTAATTATATAAAATACTTGACGTAAAAATACAATAAATTATATTATATAAAACAAGAATAAAATTTTTTGATTGATGTTTTACGTCATTGAGTCAGTCGTTGGTTTTTGTAATATTGATGCGTTCCCACGGACAAATTGGAATATTCTATATTTTGTGTATATATAAAAATGTATTGGAGGCTCGTGATGTAGCTGTAGTAATATCAATGTTAATTATTTAGTTGGTGCCTCATCTTACAAAATATTGTCCATTCTGAAAAGAATGTAAACAGCGACTCGTCAGCGTCCACCCGGCAGCACAGGGGAATTTGTTGGCGGAAAATAATTGACCTCCCCACCAGCCAGAATAAATATTATTAACCAAATTCTGTTTCTGTGAAATAAATCTCATACCGTAACCAACCGAACAGGCTGGCCCGTGAAGTGATGATCTTAACCTTCATTCGGAAGAAGCCAAGATCGAAACTTGGCAGGGCGGCCAACTTAACTCATTAGGGGTTTTCTGCGTTTTTCATAAGCATCTTTAAGGAAATTCTTTGACATAGGTCACGATCGCTGTCTCCAATTATTCCCAACTTATTTTTCATCAGCTATGATATCATTCGACGCTATGTTACTGAAAGCACATAAAAAACTGTAATATCGTGACCAGTAGCTAGCAGCCATGAACTCATGTTCTGTACAAATTATAATACAGCATAACTTATAATGAATCAGGACACGCAGCTCGGTGTTCATGGCAGTGTCTGAAAACACTCTGCAGTGACACACAACAAGCACACTGCACACTCGATAGAGTACAGGCCTACCAGAAGACAGAGTACATGCCGCTCACATGGAGCCATTACACTGACTTCATTCAGAAAATTGTAAATACGAAAACACAGATCGCAGTTTTGAAGATGGAACAGAAGTTTCACCGAATTTAAACGTACCTGCCGATGGCCGAGTATGCTGAAACATGTAGTGCAGTGATGAATTTCGAAAACAATTAAATTTAATTCTGGAGATTGCTACATGATGGACAGTACAGAGAAATCAATTATAAAATGGATTTTGACGAAGTTTTGACAAAATGATCAGTTTTAAGTGACTAGGGTTCAGTGTATAATGCAGAATTTCTAGTCTCCTAAGGAGAGTTTTCGGTTCGATAGAAATATCTACGTACGTGACAACACCTCTCTTACTATACCGTCACCCTCACTTCATGTGACATATATTTTCCTGATAAACGAGGCTCTGCAGACCGAGTTTCCGCGGTGCAGCTTGTTACGTCCTAGTTCACACCTATATCCGAACATGTAGACACTGTCCATTGAGAGCCGCATTGTATCAGTATTTTCAGCATACACTTCTGCGGATTGAACCGGCGTGTGGCCCTGCAAACTGATTTCCTATCATATCCTCAGAATACGGAGTCGACCCTGGTTCCTTAAGTGAGTCCGGGAGAAATTCCAACCATGTCATTTCCAATCGGTCATTAACCGTTATATTTTACAATGATTAAAATACATATATCATTAATGAATGTGAAATGTTTTAAATATTTGGATAGCTTGTTAGCAGACGATGGAAGGTGTACTAGTGAAATTAAATCCAGGATTGCCATTGCAAAAGCTGCATTTAGTAAGAAGAAGAATCTTTTTACCAGCAAATTGGACTTAAATTTGAGGAATAAACTAGTGAAATGCTACATTTGGAGCATAGCTCTGTATGGGGCTGAAACATGGACACTTAGGGCAGTAGATCAGAAACATCTGGAAAGTTTCGAAATGTGGTGTCGGAGAAGGATGAGAAGATGGGTTGGACCGATTATGTGATAAATGAAGAAGTGTTATTTAGAGTCAGTGAGCAGAGGAATATCCTACATGAAATAAGAAAACGGAAGGCTAATTGGATTGGTCATGTTTTACGCAGAAACTGCCTTCTAAAA